ATGGTATGGGTCTTACTCCCTCATAACCTGGAAACTAGAACAAATTTGCTCACTATAATGGGCACAGATATTGCAAGCAGTTTAAATCTCTATTGAGAATTTAAAAAAGGGAGTACCAGAAAGCTTTACTGAGAATCAACCCACTAAATAATCTCTCTAATTCTCAAGACTGGGTATTAAAATCTCCCTGACTCACAGAGTGGGTGTTAAAAAAAAAAAAGTAATATTTTGATTACTGGTAACAGCGGCAACTGTTCAAGGATTATGTAAAGAATACAATAACTCTTTCATTATTATGTGTAGTCTTGGTCCACTAGTTATTCAAAATGTATTAACATGCTGGATTGAGTGCACAAATGAACTACTACAAAGATAAGTAAGAAACTTCACCTTTGAAGTAAAGTTGGGTGAGCCATTGTGGATTTGTGCCAAATTAATGGCCCTGGCTTAATTCAAAAATACTTAACCTGCTCGAGCCAGCCAAAAGCTGAGCCAATAAATAGTTGTAAAGATAGACTGATGCATGAATCATGGATACTCTGTGTTAAATTAAGAAGGAAAAATCATCTAAGAACATTGTTAGCGGCCTTATGAATAACCACATCTGAATGGGGTGAAAGAAAGATTGGAAAGCTTTCTGTTTGTTTGTTATACAGTACTTAATATACTTAATTTTAGTTACAATGCAGAGAAAAGCTCCGTGATTTTGTTTTCTTTCTAAGACGTAAGTTTATTGAATAAAATATCCATCCTTTCCATTCTATTCAGTGTCTGTAGAATTTTTTATCCATATATATATTTTTTCCTTGACTCCTGCTTTGGTTCAGCTCAAAATTTCTGCCTCACCTATCTGTACTTTGAATAGAGGCTCAAAGCTTTAGACTTCTTCACTCTAGGACACAAGAAAACTAGAGGTGACTAAGGTAGTTGTTAACAATCGGACAATAAACCTGAAATTGATATATTTGAGTGTAGTTTGAAAATGTTTCTTAGCTTGAGCATTAATAGCAATGGATTAAAGCTTTGGAAGAACTGGCTCAAATTTGCTCTTTAGCAAAGTTATTTCTCGGCTCAAGTTATAAACTGTGAAAATGACTTGCATTAACATTTCAAAAGCTAGTTTAACCCTTTCTGTGCTCAAGGCTCATTAAACCAGTGTTTTTGAACTCCATACCCAATGGCACAAGTGGATGAGAATGGTGATCCATTCCTCCAGTATGGGATGCCAGTCCATTGCAGGTTAACCCCCATCTAACAGCTAGATACCTATCGCACATCAGGGTGGACTGAAACAAGTGGGTTTAAGTGTCTTGCTCAAAGACACAGCAGCATAACACAGGCCAATCTCGAACTCGCAACCATCTGGATCCACTGAGCCATACTGCCTCTAGTGTTTTATTGGATAGTTTTTCTTTGTGAATGGAGTGTTGAATTTCATCTGATGGATGGCTTCTTGTTACTTTGAACTTACCTGTGTTCTTGAGTTTTCAAAAGTTTAGAGATAATTAATAAGGTTGTACTTTCATCACTTAGAGGTGTACGTGGATCTCACTAACTGGTTTAAAGGTCATATATCTTAGTATGCTGTTAAAATTATATCTTTCATCAGTAAATCATCTTAAGAGCATACTAAGATGTATGACCTTTGAACCCAAATTTTACATATGAAATCGTCCTCCATTGGGACAGCAGTAAGTTTATGGACTTAGTACAACAAAATCCAGAGTTTGATTATCCCATGGTGGACAGAGCCCAGACAGCCCATTGTGTGGCATTGCATTACAACTAGTAAAGAAACAAGCTTTTGAAAGTAGTTGTTAGCTAACTAACCTTTACATTTGAACCTCGATTTTTGTTGTTTAAGATTTGCAGATTGGTTTGTATAATCCACTGTAATCTGTAACATGTTTATACAAGAGTTTTAACTGATTCAATACAGTTTCTCTATTAAATGATCATATTACCATTCTGTTGTTGAAGTAAGAATTTTAATTCAACTTCTTTGTGTTGTAACCATATTATGTTTTCAGAACCCTTAGTTTCCCCTGAAATCAACCACCTATTATGAACAGTGCTTTACTGATTACTCGACATTACATGTAACACCATATGAAATACGTAAGTCAGCATTATGTGTTTGTCTTAATTCCAGCATCACATTTCAAAACTGTTTGAATACCTTAAGCCAGAGTTTCCCAAACTTTTGTCATCCATGCCACCTCTATATAAATATGGTTCCTGGCATACCCCCCTTTGTTTTTTTAAATGAGTGAGTTAAGATACACATTAAAATGCTGTGTTATGGTAATTACTTATTTTCATTTGTAAAAAAATTATATTGAAATGCTTAATTTTGCATTATTGACTCTACCCTAATCGCTCATGCCATGGCCCCCTCCCAGGGGTGGGGTGGGTGCTCAACACTTTTGGAAATGCTACCTTTAGTTAATAGTGATGTAGAAATAAAAAGAGTTAGAACACCCCTGAATGGATTTGTAATATAAAGAGATTGACTATGTTGTGCTAAACAATTTAGCAGCCTAACCTCATCATTACAGACCATGTTACAACATCTAGTCATACTCTATCTTGTGACCATGCATCCTGACAATAACCCTGCAGCATAGTTTCAATTGAAAAAGCTGTTTTGAGGCTGGCCTCTTTAAAGTACACTTCTCCTCCCTGAACACTTTCCATAATCCATTTAATGTACAAGGATAGTGGTAGCTCAGGGCTTATTTCAACATTCCAATCATTCAGAAATCAATACCATAAGTGCCTTGACCACTATGTCTTTATATGTAATAACCTGAGTCACTGCTTCAGTCTCTAACTGCTTGAGGTATGTGATTGTTGATTGGATGTTTCATAGAACCAACTTGTGTCACTTTTCCAGAACAAGATTCTTCTTCATTATGATACAAAATATTTTCCCGAGGCATGTTCATAAAATCTCATTATTAAAAAGTTCTGCCTTTTGCTTACTGAGGCTGGGGTTTGACTTGCTGTTTCTTCCTGGATGGTTCTTGTGCACAAAGTTGATCCATATTCTATTGTTTTCCTATGATGTCAAGTACAAGGGATATCCCCATCTTGGAAGTTCTAAATCTTCAATAATAAATGCAACTTTATGATTGTAGTGAATGAATATATTATATTGTAAAGGGTTGTTACATACTCTTTTCAAAGTGTTAAATTTTCTGTGGCATCAAACTACATGCAAAATGCCAAAATGTATTCCTGACATATGCTATTCCACAAAAACTTTATATCAATTAAGATTTTCACATTACTTGCCAATTTGCATATTTAAAATCATTTTGTATATAATGTACTCGATCCTTTGTATGACATAAAGATTTAAAAAGGTAAAAATATGGACATGCTGTGGTATTTATTTATATATCATGAAAAACTATTGGTGTATCCATAAAATCAACTACAATGTTAAGAACATGATTTTTGTCAAATTAACAGTATGATATATATATAAGAGCATTGATTATCTAACAATAAAAATGTCCTCCAATCAAGTATCACTAAACTTTCAAGTTCATTCTCCAATTTTCAACAATGGCTTAAAATATGATCGTCATCTTCTCAACCCTTAATGAATAAAATAAACCCTCATCTCTAGGAAAATAAAATAGTTTTACTTGTATCTTTAACCCTTGTTAAAGATACCAAACCAAAACATCAGAATGTAAGTGAAAACAAATATTTTCCTAGAGTTACGACTAATTGTATTCACAAAATGTCTAAGATACCTTATTTGTGTTACGTACTCTGAAAAGAGAAAATGGTACTTCTCAACCTTGTTCTCTTTGTATAATTTAGCAATGCTGTGTTGTTGTTTTTTGTCAGTATTTGGGGTAGAATAACTTGTATATGCTAAATCTAAAATCTTAAAATAATTGAGTTTAAATGTTAATGTAATTTAAGTTGTCAAACATAACAATTAGTTTACATTTGAATAATTTAAGTTGTCAAACATAACAATTAGTTTACATTTGAATAATTTGAGCTGTCAAACATAACAGTTAGTTTACATTTGAAGGATACCAGACTACGGACAGAAGTTGCATCCTGCGCTTATCCTAGAAGCTTTAGGCTCGTAAATGTGGTTAATGGGAAAGCACAAGAACAGATACTAGCAGCAGATAGTGACCTAGATCATGCACAATGGACAGAAAATATCAGACAACATGCAAGAGATCATGGTAAGAACCTCACCAGGTTAATGTTTTAGTTTAGTGATATTCAAGAGAAAACTACAAAGTTGTAATCAGTTTAGACACTATGGGAATATTCTGAGATGGTTCTTAGCTATTTCATGCATTCTTTTGGTGTTACTGATTGTTATATATAATGTATAAAGCAAAATTTATGTTTGTTTTTTCTCACCTTTCAACCATCTGTTTCTTGTATGTTTCCACATTTCTTGTTCAATTGGCACCAAACTTGACACGGTGATGTAGGATGACATGAGAAAGGTCATGAGGAGGTTGGACCTCCCCCCTTCCCCCCATCTAATTTCATATTAATAGAATTCTTGAAAACAGTATGCCTTTCTTTTCAGTATTTGGTACTTTTGCATATTTTTATTGCACTTTTAATGTTTATTTTGTTAAGAAAAAAAATAGAAACACAATTTCCTATCCTTCGTTACAAACAAGTTTTTATTTCACCCATCCAATGGATGGGTACTCCAGCTAGTGTAGTTATAAAACACTTAATAAAAATCTCTTTACGAGAATATAATGCAATCCATTTTTG